GAAGGTTAGAGCAGAAGAAAACCACACCAAGGCTGGCACACAAAATGGAGCCATTCGTAAGGCTGACACAAATGCAACCGGCACTTCGCGCGTAAGGACCTCACATGTGTGTAACTCGATCACTCGCCAATTCAGTGTCCTTAAAATAAGAGCAAACCAACTGCTCAGGAGAAATGAAATTATTTCTGCTACTGAGACTCCACAGGAATTTCTTCCGAGGATCTTCTTTGTAAGGAGGACGCAGTGTAACTTAATGATCCTTGAGAACATCAGCGCACATACATTTCCATAAGGTTTATCCCTAAAAGAGACCCTTAAAATAGGCCAAGGGAGGCCACCAGGAACCAAGAATGCCCAGTCCCCTCCCAAAGAACACAAAGAGGATCAATGGTACATGTTGGAGATGTATTTTCTCCTCCACTGCCACTTTACCTCCTCACACACACGACAGTAGGAGGGGAAATTGGCACAATCCATTTGGGGGGAAAAGTATCTACTAAAATACATTCATGATATTCATGATAGGGGCACCTCGGTAGCTCAGTTAAGCGTTCTACTTTTTTTTTTAAGATTTATTCATTTATTTGAGAGAGAGAGGGTGAAAGAGCACAAGCAGGGGGATCAGCAGAGGGAGAAGCAGGCTGTTTGCTGAGCAGACCCTCCCAGGACCCAAGCCAAATGCAGACGCTTAACAGACTGAGCTACCCAGGCACAATAAGCATCCTACTCTTGATCTTAAACTCAGGTCATGAATTTAAGCCCCGTGTTGGGCTCCATGCTGGGCGTGGAGCCTACTTAAAAAACAAAAACAAAAACAAAAACAAAAAACAGTAATAAGGGGCGCCTGGGTGGCTCAGTCATTAAGCACCAGCCTTCAGCTCAGGTCATGATCCCAGGATCCCGGGATCAAGCCCCGCATCGGGTTCTCTGCTCCACGGGAAGCCTGCTTCTCCCTCTCCCACTCCCCCTGCTTCTGTTTCCTCTCTTGCTATGTCTCTTTCTGTCAAATAAAATCTTAACAAATAATAATAATAAAATAAACTACATCCATGATAGTTACAAGTTGCAAGCAACCTAAATGTCCACGTCTAGGTGAACAGCTAAATCCACTGTGGTATATTCACGCAACAGAATAGACTTGGGCGTAAAAATAAATAAACTGCTGATACACACAAAACCATAAACATTGTGTTGGGCAAAAGAAGGCAGACAGTAAGAGTATAAATACTATACAATTTGGACATTTATTTATTTATTTAAAGATTTTATTTATTTATTTGAGAGAGAGAGAATGAGAGACAGAGAGCACGAGAGGGAAGAGGGTCGGAGGGAGAGTCGACTCCCTGCTGAGCAGGGAGCCCGATGTGGGTCATGACCTGAGCCGAAGGCAGTCTCTTAACCAACTGAGCCACCCAGGCGCCCCAATACTATACAATTTGTATGATGATCTAAAATAGGCAAAACTAGTCCATGGTGATAGAAATTAAAACAGTGGTGAGATTCCACTCTACATCTACCAGAAAGGTTGAAGAGATGCAATTATATTCTGACGATGATTGCCGGTGAAGATGCAGAGCAACTCATACATCGCTGGTGCAAAACGGTCCATCAACACACACACATAACGAAAGCACATAAAACTGGTAAAATGTGACTGAATAGGGCTGGTGCGCCAGTCACGATGATCTGGTTCTGGTGCTGTACTTGAGGTATGCAAGACGTTAACACTAGGGAGGCTAGGTGAAGGGGTGCACAGTACCTCCCTGGACACCTAATTGTTTCCACAAAAAATACAGTCCAAGCTTCTTAGCAGCCTTGGATGTCCTATGCCATACCATTCCCACATCTTCTCCACTTATTCCTCCTCCCAAGCCAGGCTCTGCAAAGCCTGCAGGACACCATGCCCTTCCAGACCACCAGGCCTGGCCCCCAGGTGGTATGGCCATCTGGACCAGAGCCACCATACATGTAGCTGCTGACCCTGGACCCTGTCACTACCCCCCATGTGGCTGCTGACCCTGGACCCTGTCACTACGCCCCACGTGGCTGCTGACCCTGGACCCTGTCACTACGCCCCACGTGGCTGCTGACCCTGGACCCTGTCACTATCCCCCACGTGGCTGACCCTGGACCCTGTCACTACCCTATGTGTGGTTGCTGACCCTGGACCTTGTCACTACCCCCCCACATGGCTGCTGACCCTGGACCCTGTCACTACCCCCTGCGTGGCTGTTGACCCTGGACCCTGTCACTATCCTATGTGTGGCTCCTGACCCTGGGCCCTGTCACTACTCCCCTGCGTGGCTGTTGACCCTGGACCCTGTCACTGCCCCCCGCGTGGCTGCTGACCCTGGACCCTGTCGCTGCCCCACGCGTGGCTGCCGACCCTGCACCCGTGGCTGTCCCCACCTAAGTCCGGCTAGGGCAGACAAGGTTCCCAAATATGGCAGGAAGAAAAGGTTATTTCGTGCGTAGTTTCTTACATTCATCACCTGTTCTGAAATGACACTGTTGCGGATGCTGTGCCTTAAAAATTAAACAAGTCATTAAAATTAACGTCACCTGTTCCTTTCACTGCGGCCGCTAAACCATCTAAGACTCCCGCCGTACCGCGCCGGCTACTAGCCCTAGACCGCAGGGCTAGTCCCAGGCTCGGCGGGCGCGGAAGGAAGTAAGCGAGCGCCTCCGCGCGGAGAACACACGGAAGCCGCACGTTTGCGGCGTTTGCGTGCGAGGCGTGCGTGAGAGCGCGCGGGGGCGAGACCGGGGGTGGGGCCAGAGGAGCGGGCCGACGGGAGCGCGCTCAAGGCTGCCTGAGGCGCCAAGGAGCATGCGCGCGCAGGGGGCGGGAGGACGGGGGGCAAGTCCGGGAAGGGGCGGGGCTGCGTCCGCGCTCTTGACTTCCGCCGCCTGCTGTTGCCAGGAGCGCCACTGAGTCGGAGGAGGGGACTTTCCGACCCCGCCCCCAAGTTCCTCCTCTGGCCTATAGGAACTGAGCAGTCCCGCGGGCACCGGAAAGAGGCGGAGCCTCCGCCCTCACTGGGCCTTGCGTTCTGGGCCCACAGCGCCCTCTATTGATGCTCTTAGGAGCTGCATGGAACCCGTCCAGTGCACTTTGCACCTGGCTGAAAAGGGTCGCTTCCGCTGGCTTTGGGAAGGGGCGTCCCCACCCAGATCCTAGTGAAGCCCCTCCCCTCAGACACGCATTTTAATGTAATTAAGCAAATTTAGCTAGATAGACCCAAGAAAGGAAAATTTGTTATAATGCTAAGTTAAAGAAGCTAGCTAGAGTCAAGAGGCTAAACATAGTATGATTCCATTTATAAGATATTTTGGAAAGGGCAAGACTATAGGAACAGATCAGTGTGGTTGCCAGCGTCTGGACTACAAAGGGACAGTGGGGGCAATGAGGATGAGGATTGTGGTGATGGTTACACAACTGTATGCATTTGTTAAAACTCACACAACCAAAAACTAAAAAGTGTGAATTTTACCGAATGTAAATTATACTTTCATTTTTAAAAAACCCGAGCAGGGGCACCTGGGTGGCTCCAATCAGTTAAGCGTTTGCTTTCCCCTCAGGTCATGATCCCAGGGTCCTGGGATCGAGCCCCACATCAGGCTGTTTGCTCAGCAGGGAGCCTGCTTCTCCCTCTCCCACTCCCCCTGCTTGTGTTCCCTCTCTTGCTGTCTCTCTTTGTCAAATAAATAAAATCTTTAAAAAACAAACAAATACGCGAGCAGAAAGCGGATTGGTGGTTGCCAAGGGCTGGGAGGAGGGAAGAATGGGGAGATTAGGGGGTAAGGAGTTCATTTGGAGTGATTGAAAGGTTTTGGAAGTGCATAGAGGTGGTGGTTACACAACAATGTGAATATAGTTAAGTGCCTCTTTATCGTTCACTTGAAAATACTTAATTTTAAGTTATGTAAATTTCATCTAAAAAAAAGTAAAAGTTCTAAAAAAACAAAACAAAAAAAACCGTTCAGGCTCCTGCCTGCCATTCTATTCAACAAGCTCCTGGGGTGAGATGTGAATTGGCCGTTCTGCTCTGGCCTCAGTGTCCATGTACCTGTCACAATGTGTGCATGAGGAAAAGCAGGAAAAAGGGAACACTTTGGGGGTTTTTTGGTTTGGTTTTTTTTTTTTTTCAGATTTATTTACCTATTTGAGAGAGAGAAGAGAGAGCGCATGTGGGAGGAGAGGAGCAGAGGGAGTGTCCCAAGTGGACTCCACCCTGTGGGTAGAGCCCAATGGAGGGCTCGATCTCACAAACCTGAGATGACAACCTGAGACAATGAAACCCAGAGTCAGTCGCTCAACCGACTGCACCACCCAGGCACCCCAAGGGGAACACTGTAAAGCTGTCTCTGGGCATGAAGGATTAAGAGTTAAAGGTCCACCTCCCTACCCAGTAATTCGAAATGCCCCTGTGCCACTGACTTCCAACTTCAGATGACGAAACGGATGCTCAGAGATCAACGGGCTCACCCAAGGAGGAACTGACTGCTGGCAGACAGACTCCAGGACCTGATCTCTTTACCACACCAGGAGGTAATACTCCCTTCCCTTCTGTAGCTGGGGAGACTGAGGTTCAGGGAGGTTACACAAGATGAGGAAGTGGCAAAGCCTAGGGACAACCAGGACCCCTGAACATCCTGTGTCCTTTCTCTAAGAGATAGGAACCTGTTTCTTGGTCGTTCATTCTCTCCTTGCCTCCCACCAAGTTGGGAGACACTCCTCCCACCCCGAACACTATCTCCCCTTTTTGCACGATTGCGGGAGTAATCCCAGGGAGTCTGGGGACCCTGCCCTGGCTGCTCATTGCAACACAGCGCTCAAGCTGGGGGAAGTCATTGTGCTCAGCCACACCCAGGCCCCTCTGGTGGGCCCCAAGAGCACCCCATACTCTAGTCCAGAAACCTTCCCCAGCTCCTAAGGACAGCACACACCCAGGAGACACAGAATCTAAAAAACAAAGTACAAACTTTATTTTGTTTCTTTATAAAGGCACGGTGGCCTCTTGGTTTTTTTCCCCCCACTTTCTTAACAAAATATAATAGCTTCTCCTTGAACACAAAGACCTCAAAATTGTAAAAAAAAAAAAAAAAAACAAAAACAAAAACAGAAAACAAGAAACAAAAAACAGAAAAGATAAACAAAACCAAAACCAAAAAGAACCAACAACAAACAAAACAAAAAGAGAGAGACAAAGACATTTTTGGGGTGGAAGATGGGAAACCTGGAGGGAGAGGTGGGGCTGGGTGGTGGTGGGGAGTGGCGAATCCTCGTGCTGAGCCGAGGCCAGGAGGGGAGGGGAGAAGGGCAGCAGCAAACCCCAACCGAGAAGCATTGTAGACCCCCGGACCCCCAGAGAGCCCCAACCCAGCCAGACCCCCCAACCCATGTAAGTGCTTAAAGGAGAAAGAAAAAAAACCAAAAAGAGGAGGGAAGGAGTCAAAAACTGACGGTCTAGGGCTGGCTCTGGGGAGGGCAGAATACCTTGGGGTTTTGTTTGATTTTCCCTGTTCTTAAAAACATGTTTAAATGAAAAAATGCTTTTTGGCGGAGAGAGGCCAGGCACCTGTGTCAGCTTCCCCTGGCCTCCGGGGCGAGGCCCAGCCCCAGGTGTCCCGGTGCTCCCACACGCTCCTGCCACCCCAGCCCCCGGGACCTCAGGTCAGGTGGCTTCGCTCCAAGGTGGGTTTACAGTATTGAAAAAGAGGTCATAAAAGAGACCCAAATGACGTCGTAATTTTGTAAAAATTCCTCACTCGTTCACCTGCGTTGCTCCCTGTTGCTGCCCCACCGGCCCCCTCCAGCCCCAAGAAGGGAAAGGAGGGCTGGGGGGTGGTCAGGGAAGCCCCCCGTTCCCTGCTGGCTCCTCCCGGCTCTGGTCCATGGCGTCGCTGTCCGAGGCCTCCGAATCAGAGGCAGTGTCAGAGGCGTGGGCCTCGGGGAGGCTGCGGCCCGGCTTCACGATGACCGCTCGCCGCTGCTCCTCTTCCTGCTCCTGCCTTTCCTGGGTGCCCTCGATGTGCTGGATCGCCTGGGGGGGGGCGCCGGGCTGCGATGAGGGCAGCCGGGGACACGCAGACAGCCACCTCCACCCCCCCCACACACACACACCCCAGAAAGGCCCACAAGGAAGCCTAGCAAGACAGTGGCCGGCCTGCCCAGCGGTCGGAATGCCTCAGCTAAGCCGAAAAACTCCTAGGGGATCACAGTGCAGGGTCGCCTGGGAGTCACAAGCGTCCCTCATTTATATATTTCAAAGTGCCTGTTCACTTACGCAAGGTCTCTGTTATTAACTTTATTATTCAATTTGCTGGGTTTGTGTGCAACTACAGTTGCAGGGGTTGATGGGGTTTTTTTGTTTAGTTCTTTCTTTTTGTGATGCTGTTGGGTCTCCCAAGGGGGGCCATGCAAAGCTGGGCCCAGCAGAGACTTCGGGCCTGACCCACGGAGCTGATCGATCATCCCGTTTCTTCCTCCTGTGCAGGAGGCTTAACTGTCCCCCACCCAGCCACTGCCACCTGCACCCCGCCCAGGGTCCTGGGAGCTGGAGCTGAGAGGAAGCTCTGGACCAACCCAAGAGCTGGATGCAGGAACTTGAGAGCAGGGGGCTCAGGGAGCAAAGAGCCCTCTCAGCAAATCCCATAGAGGGAAGGAACAGGGTCTTCCAGGCCATGCTGTCCCCCGGCCCCTTCTCTGCCCTAAACCTCCAGAGCCACCTCCCACCGCAGACACAGAAAGGGAGACGCGGGAATGGACACAAAGGGCCCATTCCCACGTGATGCCCCGTCCCCAAGCCCAGGTACCTGCACGATGGTGTCCAGGTTTTGCCGGGACGTGGAAACAGAGTTGATGACCGAGGAGGGGCCCATGGTGACAACATTGATGTGGTGGGAGGGAGGGGGTGGTGCCGGCACGATCACTGTGGGGTGGTGGGTGGGAGCCGGAGGGGGCAGGAGCTGCAAGACAGAGGCCCTCAGTCTTTTTCCAAAGGTTCTAGGAGCTGCCCCTTCCCTTCTGTCCTTCTGTCGCTCACAGAGGGACGGCCCCTCGAAACCATCTGCTTCGAGAGAGCCTCTGCCAACCACCCCAGCCCTTGAACTCCTCCACTCACAGAAGGCCAGCCAGGTTGTGCTCCACCCCTCTTATTTTAAAAATGAGGGAAAGGTTGGTCCAGAGAGGGCCTTCTCAGCCATCTGAGATCCTGTGGCCCCTTCACTCTCCAGCACCAAGCAAGCGCTTCAATAGCTAATAAATCCAGTGGTTGTGGGGCACCTGGGTGGCTCAGTCGGTTAAGCATCCGACTCTTGATTTCGACTCAGGTCACGATCTTGGGGTTGTGAGATCGAGCCCCCGCATCAGGCTCCTCACTCAGCAGGGAGTCTGCTTCAGAGTCTCTCTCCTGCTCCCTCTGCCCCTCCCCCCACTCGTGCTTGCTCTCGCTCTCTAAAATAAGTAAATAAAAATTTTTTTAAAAGTAGGGGCGCCTGGGTGGCTCAGTCGTTAAGCGTCTGCCTTTGGTTCAGGTCATGATCCCAGGGTCCTGGGATCGAGCCCCGCGTCCGGCTCTCTGCCCGGCAGGAAGCCTGCTTCTCCCTCTCCCACTCCCCCCCGGCCTGTGTTCCTGCTCTTGCTGTGTCTCTCTCTGTCAAATAAATAAATAAAATCTTTTAAAAAGTTTTTTAAGTAAATAAATCTTAAAAAAAAAAAATACACTGGTTTTCAGGAGTGTGGACTCTAGATTTCGACGGCCAAGCCACTGAGGATCACTAGTGGGCATGTAATGTAACCTTTCTGTGCCTCAATTTTGCCATCAGTAAAATGGGAAGAATAAGAGCTCAGGCCTCAAAGGGCGGTTACAAGGCTTCAACATATGCAGGACACCTGGGAGCAGTAACCTTAGGCCCTGAGTCTGCCCGCTGGGGCCCAGAGGCACTGATGCTGCAGGTAAGAACCCCTCCCGGCACCTCCTGCTCACCTGGGTCCGCAGGTGCTGCTGTTCCCGCTCCAGTTTCTCCTGGTGCAGCAGCCGCACCTGCTCCTGCTGCTGCTGCAGCTGCACCTGCTGTGCGATCACCTTGAGCTTTTCCGGATACATGTGGGCCTCCAACGAGCGCACCTGGGGGCAGGACAATAGGTTTGGGGCAGGGCTCGGACCACACCCCGGCGCCTCCCCCCACCGCGAGCAGGGCCCTCAGGACTGCTGAGGTCGGCCTCCCTAAGCTCTGTCCTTCGCCAAGAGACCACTCGCTCCTGCTGCAAACCCTAGCATGGAGCTCGTCCACCCTCAGAGTAGGGACCAAAGTCCTTAGCGCAGCCTGCCAGGCTCGCCATGACTCACCTCCTCTCCTGCCACGGCCTCCCTCCTGCCGTGCTCCCTCCCACCTCCAGGCCCCTGCCCATGCTCTTCTGTGCAGAGCACGCTTCTCCCCTCTGCCCAGTTAACTTCGAGACTTGACCTCCAACCTCAGCTCAAGTCAGTTCCACGGAGAAGCCATGGGGCAGCCTCCCTGGTTCCCCGGTGCCCACCGTTGGCATTTAGCCTTTATTACAGCTGTGTTTTTATTTTACTTTTTCTTTTAAGATGTTATTTATTTATTTAAGAAAGAGCGAGAGCACATGCATGCACAGACAAGGGAGGGGAGGGGGACGGACTGAGGGAGAGGGAGAAGCAGACTCCCCGCTGAGCAGCGAGCAAGACGTGGGGCTGGATCCCAGGACCCTGGGATCGTGACCTGAGCCGAAGGCAGACGCTTAACCGCCTGAGCCCCTGAGACGCCCCACAGCTGTGTTTTTACAGTGTGAGATCCTCTAATGTTCCCCCACCCCGTGCAGACAGTGACGCCGAGGAAAGGGAGCCGTCTGCTTTGCTCCCTGCTGGGTCCCTCACTCACAGGCCTGGCACAAAACAGGTGCACCTGTAAATAACTGCTCAAAGCAGCAGCCTCACCTGCTCCTCCAGCATCATGCGCACCGAGCGCTCCTTGTCCAGTTGCTGCCTCAGCTCGATCATCTCCCTGCGCAGGTCCTCCGCCTTCTCGTCCTCCCAGATGTCTGGCGACCCGATGCCCTCGTCCTTGTCCTCCGCCCGCCGCCGCTTGGGGGATGAGCCGCTCAGCTCCTGGTGACCCCAAGGGGCCAGTGAGTGTGCTCTGACACCCCCATACTACCAACAGCACCACCACCAGGTCAGAGGACTCCCTCTCAGCCCCCCAAGGCTGTCAGGCCCAGGTGCGCCCCATTCTTCAAATCCAACAAACGGCCAAAGGCCAGAAAGGGAGGCAGAATGGACTTGCTTTCCAGAAATCACCCGGTTCCTTCCAGAGCCCACCCCGCTGCACTTGACGGATAGGTAAATGGAGGCCCAGGCAGGAAGGGAAATGCCTGAAGTAGGCAGGTCAGTGGGGAAGATGCAGCCTGCAACCACATCAGAGTCCCAGGCCATGGTTGAGCCGGGACAGGCCAAACAAGGGAAAGGGAGCCAGGAGGAGGGCGAGGCACTGAGGCAGCACGAGGCCTCCACAGGGTGCTACCTGGATAAAGCGCTTAAGCTGTGTGTTCTGCTGCAGAAGCCTGGTCTTCTCCTGCTCCAGGGAGAAGATGTACTCTGCCGTCTGCTGGAGAATGGCTGCCTGAGGGCGGGAGGGACAAGTCAGGAACCCCAGTGGGCAGGGTCTGCCAAGGCTCACTTTCTTCTCCCCACTTGAGCCCACCACTTCCTCCAGGAAGCCTTCGGGGCCCTAGCCCACCTTGCTGAGCTTCTCTCCATCTGTGTGGGGGATGAGGGTCTTGAGGGACTGGAAGCCCGCGTTGATGCTCTGCATGCGCCTCCGCTCGTTGCTGTTGGCGATCTCCCGCCGAATCCGCCGCTCCTGGTCCCGCTGAGTCTCAGGGGTCAGTGGAATGTTGGCAAGGCTGCAGGGGAGGACAAAGACATGCTCAGGCTAGGTGCCCCCCATACCCTGCCCCGGTGGGACCCTGTCTTTACCATTCACCTCCAGAGAGCCCCTAGTATAACTTTCATCCCTCCCGGTGCAGAAGATGCCAGACCTGTCAGATGCCTACACCCGCAGCAGATCCGGAGGGTGATGGAGTAGTATGCTCTGGGATGCCTGGGTGTCAGTAAGTGTGCAGCCCCAGGTCCCAGCCCGTGTGGGTGGGGCCCAGAAGCCTGAATGGCTACCAAGAATCTCTGTGATTCTGATGCCCATGGTCCCAGACAATTAACTGCAGACACCTGTCCCTGGGACACCTCTGAGCTCCTGGCTATACACCTGGACCCCCTCCTTCAGCACTGCAGGCTTGAGGACTGAGCGAAGAGATCCCTCCTCCCTCCCCATTGCCACACCCGTATCTCCAGCCACACACTCATCTGCAAGCCCCCAGCCTGGCCCCAGAGACCCCATTCTAAAACTTCAAAAACGAGACAGATACCACTCCCTCCAAGAAGGGGATATCGGACCAACCACCCCTGGAGACACTTCTCCCCCAAGCCCACGCACCCCAAGAGACAGGCCCACCCAGTGCCAGACAAGCAAAGCTCTCAGCGTGCCGTCGGAATGGTACTGCAAATTACGTGACCGCATCTTACAGGAGCAGCAGCTAGGGGGGTGAGAGAGAAGGCAGCCAGTGGAAGGGGGGAGGCTGTGGGCCCAGCGGCATCGGCAGGAGGCAAAGGCAGCAGCGGGGCCTGTGGGCCCAATGCCACCGCTCCCGAGGGCTGGGCCTGTGTGTGGCCTGGAGGAGGCATTCCCCCTCTCCCGGACCTCTCCTATAACTCCCCCCGCCCCTGGCCTGATGGCTTCCAGATGCTGGGCTCCCAGAAGAGGCCACTGGCCCCACCCAAAGCCACAGCCCTAGCTTCTTCCTGAGGGGCCCTCCCGGGGGTGACCTGGTCCAGGCCTGGGCCAAGAGAGCTCACACCCCTCGTTCTAGAGAAGTAGGGAAAAGGACTACGGGCAGCCTTATTCCATCGATGGGGACCCTGGGTTCAAAGAGGTGCCCAAGCCCCCGTGCCCGTCCCCAGGCGGAAAGGAGTTTGCTCAGAAACCCAGGAGAACGCATCTACAACAGCTGGAGACAGCCAAGGCCTTTCCTGGCCCCCCAGCCCACCCCATCTGTCCTGCTCCAGGCCTGCAGGACCCTGGACTTGCCCTTGCCCCTTCCTGGGCCTTCGCCTCCTCTCCTGACAGAGAAGTAGTCCACGTCAGCCTCGGCTGGGGGTCCACAGACAAGCCCTCTCCTCCACCAGCACCCCCAAGGCCTCCCCGGGCCCCCTGCCTCAGGATGCAGTTTCAACACGGCACCCCCAGAATGTCGATGTTCGAAAGGGGGCCCACAACCCTGTCTTCACAGATGAGACTCAGGGCTCAGAGTAAGGAGGGACAGGGCTTTAGAGTCAGACTACCAGTCATCTGGCCCCCCACTTCTGGGCCAGGGGCACCTCCCTTCTTCCAGTTTCCCGGCCCCTACAGTGGAGGTGATGGGGTGTCTAGGCGGAACAATGGAGAGGATGCAGGCCCAAGACCTGATATGCAGGGGCTTGCCTGCCCTTTGTGGGGGACATTAGAACCTAGTCCAGGGTAGGTCTGGCTGTGCCCTCCAGACCCTCTGTGGTGGGGAGAAGATGAGGTGGGGTAGGCAGCCTGGCTGGCTCATTTGGAAGAGCATATGACTCTTGATCTTGGGGTCATGAGTTCAAGCCCCATGTCAGGTATAGAGCTTACTTAAAAAAAGAGGTGAGGAGAGATGTCCAAAGGAAGCCAAGCCACCGAGGTCAGACAGCCAGACCAGGGCTCAACAGGCACCTGCAGATGCCAAAGCCCAGCTCCCCACCCCCCGCCCCGCCCCGCTGATGGTACCCTCCACTGATGGCTCACAAAGTGGCTGCTGCTTACCAGAGCCCCATATATAGCCTCAGTAGGTAGTGTCCCTGCCCCTCCCAACAAAAAGGCACAGAAGTAAAGTGACCTGCCCAAGTCCACCATGAAAGACAGGAGGAGCAGGGTGCAGGCAATGCAGCTCCTGCACGTCCCAGCCCCCACTGCCCCCCCAAGTCCCACCAATGCCCCCGACCCCCAAAGAAACCACAGTTCAGCCCCACCTCCCCCAACCAGCCAGCTCATCTGCCCATGAAAATCTCTGTCCTGGGAGACCCTCAGCTCCTCCCTTCTCCCCAGGATGCCCAGGAACTGGAGACACCAAAGGAAAGTGAAGGACCCAGGCAGGGAGCAGAGCCTGCTCATCCTGGCTCCTCCCAATATTCCATCCGTTCTGTCCCCTTCGCCACCAAGTCCATCCACCCAGCCTCCTGGTTCAGGAAACAGCTGCTGGGGCACCTAAGGCGCACTCAAGTCCCAGAAAACAGACTTCACCCCAAAGCTGCAGTTCCTCGTGAGGGACTGCCACCAAGACCCTAATGGATAACTCACTGAAATAGCCCTGGAAGTACCAGCTGATAGTTACTTTAACAGAATGTGGACTAACCAGGGTTTCTGATTGGTGGAATGTTGACTCAGCAGGGGTTCTAACTGGCGAAAGCACGGCTAACCAGCTGTTGATTGGTGGAATCATGGCTAACCAGGAGTTCTGATTGGTGGGAGTGCTGGCCAGCCAGGGGTCCTGATCGCTGACCAACCAGAGATTCCTGTAATGGATGGCTAGTCCAGCTACTGTACTAGATAGGGATAAAGGAGATTTTTTCTGCAAATGCCTCAGAGTTTCTCACACTTCTTTCTGAGTTTTGCACACATAAATGTGATTTACAGGAATGGTAAGGCTCTCTGGCCCCTCCACATCAACTTCAGACTCGCAGGTGAGCAGTGAAGGGAGCCTGGTCCACTGACACCCAGAGTCTGTTGCTTCTCTCCCTCCCAGACTGCCCTCCGACAGTCAGTCTCCAGGAGAAGGGCGGCCAACGGCCAAGAACAGTTTGGGTACCAGCCCTGGGTGCCGAGACTGCCACCCCAATACCAGAGTACCCACAGACAGCCCCCTGGGAATAACACCAGCATAGCAATCAGAGCCTCTGGGGTAGGGAGCACACTCTTCAAGGCAGAATCCTGACCTGTACCTGTTCTTCCTGCCCAGCCCAAAGGCAAGTAGCCCCCATCCACCTACACCCCCAGGCTCGGCTGCAGCCTCAGATTAGGCATGGAGAACTCTCATTTTTCACTGCCCAAAGTCACTCACATACATGTCACTCAACATTTCCAGTGAGATGTGGGAAAGCCCACCTGGGATTTCTCCCACACCCCAAGAGGAGGACAGGAGGGAAGAAGCGACCCTCAGCAAGGATGCCAAGGCGCTCATCCTTCTCTGTGCAGCCAAGTACTGAAGCAGCCCAGGGCCTTCACCCAGCCCCACTGCTTCTATCCATACACCTCACTCTGACCAGCCTGCCACCCCTGCCCTCAGCTCTGAACAGACCATGGCCAGGCTGTTCCCATCAGACACACCTCTCCCCTCTCGGGCTTCCTCGGTCCCTCAGAAGGAGCTCCCTGCACTGTGTTCAAGTACAAACCAGGCCGGCCACTTACTAGCCGTGGAACTCCATGCTTAAGCACTTCATCTTCCAAAGCCTGTTTACCCACCTGTAAAATGGGGGGGCTACTGCCTCACTTCATAGGGTCATGGTGAAATTTAAAAGACATGGAAGAAGAGGGCGCCTGCCTGGCTCAGTCAGTAGAGCATGAGACTCTTGATCTCAGAGGTCATGAGTTCAAGTCCCACACTGGGCATAGAGAATACTTTTAAAAATAAGTAAGTAAAAATGATCCTTAGGTTATAAAAGAGAGAAAGAGATGGATGAAGAAAAAAGAGGTTGAGGGCAACAGGATGCCTTGTTTTTCTAGAGTTTGTACACAGGACTCCAGGACATCCCAAAATCTCTCTTTATTACGGGGCTGACAAGGCTCTTCAGCACCAGATTTTGAGCTGTTAGGACAGGGCCAATCCTGGTTCCCAGCACAGAGTAGGTGCCACATATATACTGGATCAGGGACTCAGGACACCCTCCAAAGCCCCTAACTGTCTCTACCTCCTGAGAACTGGTCTCTTTGCCTCCACCAAGGACAGCAGGAAAACACTTAATAAGACCACAATGCTCCCACTTCTAAGAGTTTGAGTGCTATTTTAACAGACACCAGGCGCTTTCCAGACATACAGCCAACCTTCACAGGTGCTCCATTTTATAGAAGTGGAGAGCAGTGAGACCACACAAGTCCAAAACCACACAGCATGGGCATGAGCCGGGCTAGGAGGGTGATGCGGGGTGGGGGACATATCGGTCGGTGCCCACTGTGCAGTACGGCCCCCTCCAGTGGGTCTGGGAGAGGAATAAGAGAGGTAGGGAGCCCTTCTAGTCCCTGAGGGATGGAACAAAGCCCCCTAGCCTCAGAAGCTGGCCACACAGTCCAAAGGTCCCACCCAACCCACACACTTGATCCCACCTCAGCCCACAGCTTCTGAAAATGAACAAACTCAGAGGGCCCAACTCCACACCCAGTGCACGGGCTTACACCTGTCTCACAGATAGGCAGGCTGAGCATGTCCCCAGGCCTGAGCCTGGGGCACTTGACCCCTAGAGACTGCTGGACTCCTCTAAAGCAGGGCTTGGGACAGGGACAGTGAAGCCAGAGTCCTAGGAGACCAAGAGAGGATTCAACTAAGTCCCAGGCCTGGTAGCCATAGGTCTCCGCTGTGCCAAGCCTGCCCAGGATCAGGCCCAAATAGTCCCCCCCAGCCCTTCTCTGAGCAACCAGCCACTAGGGGTAAGAGCAGGGCTCTGGGATCAGGGTTCAAGTCCCAGCCCCACCACTTGACCTTCTCAGGCTTCTGTCCTCATCCCATATGGGAATCATAAGGCCGCTTAACTGAGGAAGAAGAGTGTGAAAATTCAATGACAAAAATCTAGCAAAACGAATCCCTAAAACATATTAAGAGCTCCAGAATTTTTTTTCTTTACTTATTACAGCTAGGCCCTCCAAGTAGACCTTCTGGAAGGGCCAGCACCCTGAACTTGAGAACTGTTAAGGTAGGAGCCCTGGGGCGAGGTGGGGCGTGTGTGTATACTTGAGCAGCAACCTTCTCCGAACCCGATTTCTGCAGCCCCTACTGTCCACCAGCCTGGGCCACACCACCCCGGGCTCCTCCTCCCTCAATCCCCGCCCAGCCTACCCCGGGCGGCAGAGCACGTGGCCCCAGCCCTAGGGAGCCATTTCGCTCCAGGAGTAGCATGGTTCTAAGGGCGCTGCAGGTTCCAAACCTGGACACACAGGAGAGCCCCAGACGCAGCACTGCCACGTCCCGCGGGCCGCGTTCAGTGCAGATGCCCAGGCCCTTCTGGCCATCGGAGTTTCGGGCATGTGCATTTTAACAAGTGTCCAGGGAAACGGGATGCGAGTGGTGCACGCACCCATCACCCTTGATAAAGGGTGGATCTGGAGCAATCCGGGGCAAACTTGGGAAGTGGCTCCCGGGGAGGGCCGGGGACCTGGGATCACCCACCCACGCACCCACCGGGCTGCAAGATTGAACGCTTTCGGTTTATGGCTAGGGGGAGGGGCGTGGGATGGGAAAGTTTGCAGCCGAGACCTGCGTGCGACAGGCAGCGGCCTCGTGAAGCCAGGGGCGGCGTCCGGTGCCCCCTCCCCAAAAAGCACCCCCACCCAGGGCCTGCCGGGCCCATCCAGCCCTCGGGAGCCGAGCTTTGTGCGAGGAAAGCGTGGCCCGGGCGCGCCTACAACTCCCACAATGCCGCACCGGCAGGGCGCGGGGAACTACAGCTCCCGAGAGGCGGCGCGCCGAGGTCCGCCTACTCCAAGAGGGCTGCAGAGTCACGTCCAGGCCTCGCTAGTAAACAGCGCCCGGGCGCGGGCGGCAAGCGTGCGACCGGCCGCCAACGTGCCGGAGTCCGCGGCGCCACACGGCCGGTAGCGCCGGCCTCTCGGGTCCCACCCATTCCCGCACCCCCATTCGAGCATGCCCCCCCATCCCCGCCGCAGCCCCGCTCCCTGCAAACACATCACCCGGCTCCCCGATCCTTCCCCCCCCCACCCCGCGCCCAGAGCCGCGGCGTGGCTGCATTGTAGCCGCCCGCGCCGCGGCCCCACGCGCGGCCCGGGCCCCCCAAGCCCCCTTGGAGGGGGGCACCCAGAGACAGCGAAGAAGGAGGGAGAGGAAGGAAGCCGCCGCGGGAGGGGGGAGGAGGAAGCGCGGGGGGGAAAGCCACCAGCACCAAGCATGGCCGGGACTGCTGCAGAACCACGTGGGTCTGTTTGCAATTTACAAACGTCGCGACTCGCCCGCCTGCAGCGGACAAAAGTGACCGGGGCCGCTTGGGGCCCCCACGTTCCGGGGGAGGAGGGTCCCCCGGCCGCGCAAGCCCGGCGCGCGGGGCTGTAGCCGCCCCGGCGGCTAAGAAAGGCGAGCGGGGTCGGCAGCGCGGGCCATGCGTGCGCACACGCGCGCCAGCCCCGGCGGGCTGGCCGGGGGCTGCAATCATGGGAAGGGGGTGGGGGGAGGAGGAGTACACACCTACAGAGCCCTCCTATCACTTCTTTCTCTGTTTTCCTGAAATGTTGCAAAGAGGGCACCTTCTGAGTGGGTACCATGAAATACTCCATAGCGATCGGCCCCCCTCCTCTGCACGAGCCGGGTCCCGCGGTCCGCCGGAGAATGCAAGATGGAAATCCGAATCAAAGGGCAGCGCCGGACGGAGGTGCAGAAACGGCCGGTCCCAGATGCTGGCGGCGGCGGCGGCGGCGAGGGGAGGGAGGCGGGCGGGAGGGGCGG